GAGCAAACCTCTTATGAGCCAGGGATGTACAAAGACACTCAGAAACAGGAGAGATAAAGGTAACATAAAAGAAACTATGAAAACATGTAATGTATGAAACACAGAAAACTATGTTGTAGGAAATTTGCATAAGGAACACTGGATACTGAATCGAAGGCTCTACCTTCACTAGTAAATAACTGTACTGATTTAGCCACAGTGTGTTCAAAAATTTGTTTAATCCTTAAACTGTCCAAACATAGAGCTACATTCACATGCGTAGCACTCCGAATGTAGATCTTTTATTTTTTTTTACGTGCTTTCAAATAGAGAAAATAAAGGTCGGAGCACTACACACATGAACGTAGATCTACGTTTGGACAGTTTAAGGGTTAATCCACACTGTTGCTTGACCTACTTTCATATACACTACCTAACAGAACACTCCATTCTACTGAATGTACAACAATGCAAGCAACCATATGACCTGTCTTTGTAATACGTACTCATTTGTGCTTTGTTGTTATCTGTTTACAATAATGTTTTATTACTTATTACATCATTACTTAGTTAATCTTAAGTTAATTTTAAGCCAGCCCGTAATGCTATGCATACAAGTGGCTTTGGCATGCTGCTCTTACCTGTATTTTTTTGTACCTCTGTATATTCAAATTATTAATAACAAAAAAAAGGCAAATATCGTGACTGGAACTATACACAAATAACCTGCACATAAGAGAGAAGCTTACGACGACGTTTCGGTCCGACTTGGACCATTTACAAAGTCAGTGTGAGTTTGTAAATGGTCCAAGTCGGACTGAAACGTCATTGTAACCTTCTCTCTTTTATGTGCGGGTTATTTGTGTTTCAAATTATTACATAAATAAATAGAGTTGCTGATACCACACAGGCTTTGTGGAAACACCATGGTGTTACTTCTACATCACTCTTGGCTGTGAAATTAAAACTTTATCATATTTACATTCAGAATTCGTAAGTTTATTCTGAAAACATTGTAGACTACATACATATCATGAAAGTAACAGATTACAATACAATACAATTTTCATTTCTTTAATCAGTACAAATAATGTAATTTACATGTAACAAAACATTGGTAGGCACAAAAGAAGACCTTTAATATGTAATGCGTTTTGGGCAAACTAATTCTAATATTTAAATGTTACTTAGATAATGTACCTTTTATACCTTTGATGGAGTCCAAGAGATTTTTATTTTTTTTTAACTCCTGGAGCCCGGCCGAAGGCCAGGCTCCTCTGGTGCTTGCCTGGTCAACCAGACTGTTGCTGGTGGTGTTCTGCTGACCCGCAGACTGCAGTTTAAATATATATAACATAACCTGTGGGGTTAAAGGGACATGGTACATCCTGGTTCACCGATGAAAATTGTTGGGAAAAATTTGAAGCATTTTCATAAAATTTCTCTAAAAATAGTTGAAGGTGTGAAGTCTTGCTGTTGTAGGTTAATTTCAAATAAAACATTTCTGAATGAAGTTACATATAAATTTGCTTTTACTATGCTCAAGGGCTCTGGTGGCCTGGTGGCTAACGCTCTCGCTTCACACGGCGAGGGCCTGGGTTCGATTCCCAGCCAGAGTAGAAACATTGGACGTGTTTCTTTCCACCTGTTGTCTATGTTCCCCATCAGTAAAATGGGTACCTGGGTGTTAGTGGACTGGTGTGGGTCGCATCCTGGGACACTGACCTAATTTGCCCAAAATGCTGAGCATAAGGAATTTCTATATAGTAGTATGTCATGGATGTCATCTAGGCCTGTATACCATGTACATGTACTTGTAGTAAATAAAGATTTATTATTTATTATTATTATTATTTATTATTTATCTATGTCATTTTGATATCGTTCAGGAGTTGGATACATTATTATAATTTTTATTTATCAAAATTGATTTTTGTGCATGTAAATGTATATAATATTCACTAAATCAACATTTGTTAACTTGAGGTTAGTGAGGAAGGTGGTTGACAGTAGCCCAAGTGGGGTGAGGGAGGCTGCACGTGTGCTGCATAATCTTGACTCGGTGTAAACATAGCAATACTGTCAAATTTTTTTTTTCCTGCTTCTCATATAAATAGTTTTGCTGTTGTCTAAATCATAACTTATTTTAATCGTACCAAATTTTGAACATTAGCTATAATGCAAGAAATTTATAATTTTGAAATTCCTTGTGGGTTTTTGCTGTGCTAGTTTTTAAAATATAAAATTTTGTTTTTTGTTTCATGAATTTCACATTTTTTTTTATTTTATGAGATAAGCACAAATAACATACTACAGTGGAACCTCAAATTTCGAACTTAATCTATTCCAGGAGCTAGTTCTAAATTCGAAAAGTCTGAAAATCAAAGCAATATTTCCCATAAGAAATAATGGAAATACAATTAATCTGTTCAAGAAACACAAAAATATTCACAAAAAAATACATTTTATAGAGATTAATTACAGTTTTACATACACACAACAAATACTATAGTGTTCAATTATGTATATAAATATAAAATAACATTTTTACTTACCTTTATTGAAGATTGGTGACGGCATCTGGAAGATAGGGAGGAGGAGAGAGGGAGTTGGGGTTAGTGTTTGGAAGGAGAAACCCCCTCTATGAGGACTTCTGGTATCAAAGCCCTCTCTGGGGTTACTTCTCTTCTCTGTATTTTAATGCAATAGGACCAGCTTCTGTCACTGGAACCCTGTCTCACAAAATAACTGTCTACAGTCCTCTGTTCGTCTCACAAAATAACTGTTCACAGTCGTCTGTTTCTGTCTCACAAAATAACTCCACAGTCGTGTGTTTCTGTCTCACAAAACTGTCCACAGTTGTCTGTTTGTCTCACAAAATAACTGTCCACAGTCCTCTGTACATCCTGCCAAGTTCAACAAGTCTCACACCACTGTCATACTTGTGTATTATTTCCTTCTTCACATCTATGGTGTTTCTCACTTTCTTTACCACAGGGGGTACCACTAGCAAGTTTCTTTGGGCCCATGGTAGCTTACTTCACAGTCCCACAAGCACTAAACACAATGAAATAATCGTAAAATGTTTGAATTTGAGTGCAGGTTAGTGTTCACTCAAGCATAAACAAAGCTAGACTGGCTCATGGCACCTGCGCGTTAGCCACTGGGCCAGTTAGCTTCAGTAAGATTCGTCCAACTAGGTGTATTTCTACACCATAGGAAGGTTAGCATAGGCACCACTGTGTCCACAAATGCAAGTTTTTACAGATGAATCTCCCGCTAGCATGGCCGTGAGTTAGTCACGGCCATGCTAGCGGGAGATTCGTCTGTAAAAACTTGTCATAGTCATAGTTTTACTGTCTTCACATTATGTCTTTGAATTTGTATTGATAAATTTACTGGACGGTGTAATATCTTTAATGTAGATACCAAGATGTTTCATGTGTGTCTAATGCTTCCTCTCTACCATCCAACACAGGTTAATACGGTGGTATCTTGACTTACGAGTGCCCCAACTTGTAAGTTTTCCGAGTTACGAGCCATCACTCGGTCGATTTTTTGCCTTGGAGTTGTGAGCCAAAGTCAGAGTTATGAGTGAGCTTCAGATGTGCTGCCACTCACAGGAGATACCGAGGAAATATCAAAAACATCTTTTATAACCAATGTGTAACATCCTTTAAGTTTTGACACCACGGGTAGTGTCATCCTGCCAGAATGTTCTAAAACGTATTCCCTAAGTAAAGAGAAACAATTCTGTGACATGCGTAATACATGTTCCGCAGGCCATCAGGTTGAGTGGCCAGTTGGCTGGCGGCTGTTATCTGGCTTTGTGTCTGTGTCTGTCTCAGTCTCAGTCTCACAGCTACACATAAATACAGTTACACATAGTATAAATTACCTAGGATAACCCAAAAATTCCAGACAAAGTTCTATATTATGCTTGTAGATATAAGGCATAATAAGCATGACTGGCAAGTAATACACATTTTTACTTGTTCAGGAATCAGACGTGACGACTCTGCATCACGTGTAATACCTGTTGGTTCATGAGCAGCTCTCTTTCTGAAACAGAGACAGATCTGAAGATGGAAACACAGGCAGACAGAAGGACAGATAAGCAGGGACAGACATAAACATATATGAAAGTTAACACTTGTGCAAAATCTGGTTATCTTTATTGTAGACGTTTCGCCATCCAGTGGCTTTATCAATACAGATTCTTGGACATAAGAAAACAGAAGAACTATATACAAAAGATGAGGTAATCAGTCCCTCAGCCTTCACCTCTACAACCACGGTGCTCTAAACACCACCTCCAAAGCTGAGGGACTGATTACCTCATCTTTTGTATATAGTTCTTCTGTTTTCTTGTTATGTCCAAGGATCTGTATTGATAAAGCCACTGGATGGCGAAAAGTCTACAATAAAGATAACCAGATGTTGCACAAGTGTGTCAACTTTCATCTTGTCGGCATTGTATACCTGTCTTACATAAACATGTATCTAGATAAACAGATAGACAGACAGAAACAGATAGACAGAAACAAGCAGATAGACAGACATGTTTATGTGTAACAGTGAAAAATAAAGCCAAGGCAGTGCATGATCATCAAATGTCACTCCACTGCTGCACTGTCAGCAGTGGAGCAACACTCATCTTACACCGTGCTTCAAGGAGTTTCATATATACTCCCGCATTTCTAAAGCATTTCTGGGACCTGGCAAAAAAGGCAAAAATCATTTCTTATTTATAAATGCACTTTTCTTATTTAAAAACCTGTAACAAAAAAATTGGGGTGGTTTTTTGGGGGCTGGAACAGATTAATGGCATTTCAATTAATTTCAGTGAGGAAAATTGATTTGATACACGAGCAAATTGAGTTATGAGCTCGGTCATGGAATGAATTAAACTTGCAAGTCTAGGTACCTCTGTATGATGGGAAAAGGTAAAGATTGATATTAGAAATAAAATGATGATCATTTTGCAGGCAGAAGTAATTAATATACTGTTTATTTTGCAGGCGAAAGATGCAGGCTGGAGGTGCATCACCAGTGGGAATGCCACCTGGCCCACCTCAGATGGTGCCGATGTCAAAGGTGGCACTCAAGATTGAAGCCAAGTATGTTTTATTTGTACATTGTGACATGTACAGTAGGCATCATAAATATGCACACACAAACATACGAGACCTGTCACCATTGCTGAAATATGTATAGACTCCTCACCTAAACTAGTATTAGTATTGTGCAGGATTACCCTTCCTCTTGAGGCACTCCTGAGTCTGCCTGAAATGCCTAGGCATGCTAGTGGTTTTCTTTGTAATTAATATTTTGTAATATGTAAACCACACATTGTAAGCTTTGCAAGGAAATAAACTTTTTCATTTCATTTTTATAAGTCTCCTAGGTACTGAAGAGGCTAATGTATGGAGGACAGAAGAGACAGTACCATCCCACACATGCTTACTGGCACTCAAGATTTTGGGGTTACAGGACACGTCCATGCCATGAAGCTTATATTTAACCCTTTCACTGTCTCTCAAGTAAACCTATGTTATTGATGCCAGTATCTCTTAAATAAATCTACATTTTAATTAAGCACAGTACTCTCAAATATTCAGTGAGCAGTAAATTTTGGCCTAGACATTGGAGAATGGGTTTGTGTGGTGGGTGTGCACAGTATCAAAAAAATCCTGCCCATGCAGTGCATGATTGGAAAAGCAAACCTCTGACCCTGTGTTTAGTTTAACCCGTAAACAGTCCAAACGTATATATACGTTTTTACTGCTAGTGCCCCAAACGTATATGTACGTTTTATTTGTCATACATTCAACATTGCCACGATAAGCCTGAGTCACCTAGGCATAAGAGAATGGGTGTGCGCACTCACTATGTGCCATATTAAAATAATTGGGGATGCCTGGGTACCATATGCTCTTTTTTCCTATTAAAAAACAATTTTTTTTTTTTTCTCAAAATATTTGGGGCACTACGGTAGAGAACGTATATATACGTTTGGACCGTTTATGGGTTAAAACAGAGACATTAGGGTGTTTTCTAGGGTGGTTTTTATGGTTTTATTGGCTGTTTATTGGTATCAAATGATAGAAGGGAAAACATACTAGTCAGTTTAAGGCCCAGAAATTTTTGATTTTTGGCGATATCCTCCCCCCCACTCCCTGGTCTGTTTCATGGGTTCTTTATACTAGGTGTGCTTCCATTATTGGAAAAGACCTAAACCATGGCCAATCATTCTTGTTAATCTGCAAAAAAGTGTATAAACTATTTTTTTGTGGGATGATGGATTCAAAATGGAGGACAAGTGTAATATAGGAGAGGCCTGGGGATGTGATTAATGAACGGAGAATAGGCTACTTTAATGGCTTGAATACCTACATTATTTTGGACTGCTTTTAAATTGAATTCTGTAAACTTTTTTGTAAAATTGGCTAAATTATTGACTTCTGTGCACTTCATAAGCTAGTTCTGTAAGTTTAATGGGCAGTTTCTTATGCTCAGTCAATAGAATTGAAGGCATGCTAGCAAATAGCTAGATATTTGGTTAAATTAAACAATAGATATGGCTTAAAATAGGACTCAAAATGGGCAAAATTGCTGATGGTTAAAGTGCATCCAGATTGCCAAATTTGTTTGCATACCAGATTGCCAAATTTTTATTTGCATAATTATGTAAGCTTTCTATGAAATTTTGCATTTTTGGTGTCCTCACTTTTAGAAAAAGCTTTTCTAAAATTTTCAGAAGAAAAAAATGGCAGTTTTTTTTTTTTTTTTTAAATTGTAACACCATCATTACTTTATTTTGGTGGATCAATAATTGAAGAGTTAAAAGGCTCCAGATATTCATTATTTTATTGAAATCCCTTGAGTTTCCGGGCCAGTCATTAAAGTACGTATGGTAAATCACACTCATTTAGCCAATTCTTAATGTCTTTGGCAGTGTGCCAAGGTGCACTGTCTTCCTTACAAAGTTGCTTTGACACTTCTTGAAACTCAGGCAGGTAACCTGATGAAAGCTTATGTGTGTGCGTATTTGACACCTGTATACAAGCTCTCAATTTACAATTTTTTTTCTTAGTTTTCTAACTTAAAAATAAGTAGTACAAGAATGGTATACAATACCGACAAGATGAAATTGAGACACATGTGCAACATCTGGGTATTTTTATTGTAGACGTTTCGCCATCCAGTGGTTTTATCAATACAAATTCCAGGACATAACTCGTCGTGGAGATTCTTTCAGAATCTCCACGACTACGGTGCTCTTCGCACCTATTGCTAGGTTGAGGGACTGATTACCTCATCTTCTGTGCATAGTTCTCCTGTCTTCAGGTCATGTCCTGGAATTTGTATTGATAAAGCCACTGGATGGCGAAACGTCTACAATAAAGATAAGTAGTTTGCACGGAAAACAATAGTACCAGGGATAGTTATGTTTTCTACATGTTTGTTCTTCAGTTTGTGTGGGTCCTGTCCTGTTTGAAAGTGCAAATTTGTGCAACTTGGGGCATTGGTAAATTGATGACTTGTATAGATACAAGTGCACTGTAATGTAATTCAATTAGTAGTTTTACCTAATATGCTTTTTTTTCTTATACAATAAGACCCCATATCCATGGGTGCTATATTCCAAGGACCTGCCATGGATAAAAAAAACTGTGGATAGTAGCAAACCCTGTATATACAAATCCTATACATACCTATTATAAGTTTCATCAATAAATCATGCACAATAAATGGAGAATTATCACTTTTCACTTATGGGAAGCACTTCACAGCTTTTCTTAGGCTTTGAAGAACTGCAAGCTTTTCTATTTTTGCATTTTGGGGCCAGTATTATGCAAAATTAAGAGGTATGTTTGGGCCACGGTAAACTGTGGATAACTGAAACCGCAGATACCAAATCAGTGGAAACTGGGGTTCTACTGTATTAGCGTTGTAATAAATTAACACATCGGCTACATGATTGTGATTTTTTGTGTACAGTAAACCCTCTCATAATGCAATGGATACATTCCTGAAAATTGGCACCTTATGGTAATTTGTGGCAGTATGTGAAGTGAAGACCATATGGAAAAAATATGTTAAATTGCAGAGACCTCATAGTTAGCCAAACAACTTTTTTTTTTTTAAATATTTTACTAGAATAGTATTTATTTAAATCTGTAGGAGAAGGAAGGCGGGGTAGGGGTCGTCCTCGAAAAGGTTGGAAGGAAGGGGTAAAGGAGGTTTTGTGGGCGAGGGACTTGGACTTCCAGCAGGAGTGCATGAGTGTGTTCGATAGGAGTGAATGGTGACAAATTCAAATTCAAATTCAAACTTTATTCTCTATAAGTATTACAATGCTGAGTTTACAGAATTTGGTTATTGTGTGGTTTACATGTAGTAAAATAATAATTACAGAGTGTACCACTAGAACGCCTAGCATGGCTAGGCATTTGGCAGACTTATATTAAATCTTAGGTTTAATGTTTAAAGAATTATTTTGTTTATTTTTATGGCTAAGTGATAAAAATTCTTGAGTCCTAAATGAATGCTTTTGTTGGCACTAAATAGGGGTAGAGGGTAGACACCACTTCTCCTGGAATACTACTCCTACAGATGAAACTTGTAATAACTTGGAACCTGTGCCTGATGGGATAGGATTGTGTTTTTATGAAGAAAAACACGCTAAGATAACAGGGATATCTTGCTACTCCTACTTACACTTTGGTCACACTTCATAGACACGCACATGCATATATATATATACATACATCTAGGTTTTTCTCCTTTTTCTAAATAGCTCTTGTTCTTTTTTATTTCTTCTATTGTCCATGGGGAAGTGGAAAAGAATCTTTCCTCCGTAAGCCATGCGTGTCGTATGAGGCGACTAAAATGCCGGGAGCAATGGGCTAGTAACCCCTTCTCCTGTATACAATTACTAAAAAAGAGAAGAAGAAAAACTTTATAAAACTGGGTTGCTTAAATGTGCGTGGATGTAGTGCGGATGACAAGAAACAGATGATTGCTGATGTTATGAATGAAAAGAAGTTGGATGTCCTGGCCCTAAGCGAAACAAAGCTGAAGGGGGTAGGAGAGTTTCAGTGGGGGGAAATAAATGGGATTAAATCTGGAGTATCTGAGAGAGTTAGAGCAAAGGAAGGGGTAGCAGTAATGTTAAATGATCAGTTATGGAAGGAGAAAAGAGAATATGAATGTGTAAATTCAAGAATTATGTGGATTAAAGTAAAGGTTGGATGCGAGAAGTGGGTCATAATAAGCGTGTATGCACCTGGAGAAGAGAGGAATGCAGAGGAGAGAGAGAGATTTTGGGAGATGTTAAGTGAATGTATAGGAGCCTTTGAACCAAGTGAGAGAGTAATTGTGGTAGGGGACTTGAATGCTAAAGTAGGAGAAACTTTTAGAGAGGGTGTGGTAGGTAAGTTTGGGGTGCCAGGTGTAAATGATAATGGGAGCCCTTTGATTGAACTTTGTATAGAAAGGGGTTTAGTTATAGGTAATACATATTTTAAGAAAAAGAGGATAAATAAGTATACACGATATGATGTAGGGCGAAATGACAGTAGTTTGTTGGATTATGTATTGGTAGATAAAAGACTGTTGAGTAGACTTCAGGATGTACATGTTTATAGAGGGGCCACAGATATATCAGATCACTTTCTAGTTGTAGCTACACTGAGAGTAAAAGGTAGATGGGATACAAGGAGAATAGAAGCATCAGGGAAGAGAGAGGTAAAGGTTTATAAACTAAAAGAGGAGGCAGTTAGGGTAAGATATAAACAGCTATTGGAGGATAGATGGGCTAATGAGAGCATAGGCAATGGGGTCGAAGAGGTATGGGGTAGGTTTAAAAATGTAGTGTTAGAGTGTTCAGCAGAAGTTTGTGGTTACAGGAAAGTGGGTGCAGGAGGGAAGAGGAGCGATTGGTGGAATGATGATGTAAAGAGAGTAGTAAGGGAGAAAAAGTTAGCATATGAGAAATTTTTACAAAGTAGAAGTGATGCAAGGAGGGAAGAGTATATGGAGAAAAAGAGAGAAGTTAAGAGAGTGGTGAAGCAATGTAAAAAGAGAGCAAATGAGAGAGTGGGTGAGATGTTATCAACAAATTTTGTTGAAAATAAGAAAAAGTTTTGGAGTGAGATTAACAAGTTAAGAAAGCCTAGAGAACAAATGGATTTGTCTGTTAAAAATAGGAGAGGAGAGTTATTAAATGGAGAGTTAGAGGTATTGGGAAGATGGAAGGAATATTTTGAGGAATTGTTAAATGTTGATGAAGATAGGGAAGCTGTGATTTCGTGTATAGGGCAAGGAGGAATAACATCTTGTAGGAGTGAGGAAGAGCCAGTTGTGAGTGTGGGGGAAGTTCGTGAGGCAGTAGGTAAAATGAAAGGGGGTAAGGCAGCCGGGATTGATGGGATAAAGATAGAAATGTTAAAAGCAGGTGGGGATGTAGTTTTGGAGTGGTTGGTGCAATTATTTAATAAATGTATGGAAGAGGGTAAGGTACCTAGGGATTGGCAGAGAGCATGCATAGTTCCTTTGTATAAAGGCAAAGGGGATAAAAGAGAGTGCAAAAATTATAGGGGGATAAGTCTGTTGAGTGTACCTGGTAAAGTGTATGGTAGAGTTATAATTGAAAGAATTAAGAGTAAGACGGAGAATAGGATAGCAGATGAACAAGGAGGCTTTAGGAAAGGTAGGGGGTGTGTGGACCAGGTGTTTACAGTGAAACATATAAGTGAACAGTATTTAGATAAGGCTAAAGAGGTCTTTGTGGCATTTATGGATTTGGAAAAGGCGTATGACAGGGTGGATAGGGGGGCAATGTGGCAGATGTTGCAAGTGTATGGTGTAGGAGGTAGGTTACTGAAAGCAGTGAAGAGTTTTTACGAGGATAGTGAGGCTCAAGTTAGAGTATGTAGGAAAGAGGGAAATTTTTTCCCAGTAAAAGTAGGCCTTAGACAAGGATGTGTGATGTCACCGTGGTTGTTTAATATATTTATAGATGGGGTTGTAAGAGAAGTAAATGCGAGGGTCTTGGCAAGAGGCGTGGAGTTAAAAGATAAAGAATCACACACAAAGTGGGAGTTGTCACAGCTGCTCTTTGCTGATGACACTGTGCTCTTGGAGATTCTGAAGAGAAGTTGCAGAGATTGGTGGATGAATTTGGTAGGGTGTGCAAAAGAAGAAAATTAAAGGTGAATACAGGAAAGAGTAAGGTTATGAGGATAAACAAAAAGATTAGGTGATGAAAGATTGAATATCAGATTGGAGGGAGAGAGTATGGAGGAGGTGAACGTATTCAGATATTTGGGAGTGGACGTGTCAGCGGATGGGTCTATGAAAGATGAGGTGAATCATAGAATTGATGAGGGAAAAAGAGTGAGTGGTGCACTTAGGAGTCTGTGGAGACAAAGAACTTTGTCCTTGGAGGCAAAGAGGGGAATGTATGAGAGTATAGTTTTACCAACGCTCTTATATGGGTGTGAAGCGTGGGTGATGAATGTTGCAGCGAGGAGAAGGCTGGAGGCAGTGGAGATGTCATGTCTGAGGGCAATGTGTGGTGTGAATATAATGCAGAGAATTCGTAGTTTGGAAGTTAGGAGGAGGTGCGGGATTACCAAAACTGTTGTCCAGAGGGCTGAGGAAGGGTTGTTGAGGTGGTTCGGACATGTAGAGAGAATGGAGCGAAACAGAATGACTTCAAGAGTGTATCAGTCTGTAGTGGAAGGAAGGCGGGGTAGGGGTCGGCCTAGGAAGGGTTGGAGGGAGGGGGTAAAGGAGGTTTTGTGTGCGAGGGGCTTGGACTTCCAGCAGGCATGCGTGAGCGTGTTTGATAGGAGTGAATGGAGACAAATGGTTTTTAATACTTGACGTGCTGTTGGAGTGTGAGCAAAGTAACATTTATGAAGGGATTCAGGGAAACCGGCAGGCCGGACTTGAGTCCTGGAGATGGGAAGTACAGTGCCTGCACTCTGAAGGAGGGGTGTTAATGTTGCAGTTTAAAAACTGTAGTGTAAAGCACCCTTCTGGCAAGACAGTGATGGAGTGAATGATGGTGAAAGTTTTTCTTTTTCGGGCCACCCTGCCTTGGTGGGAATCGGCCGGTGTGATAATAAAATAAAATAAAAACATAGTTTCAGTATTGGAGTATCACAGGCCAACTTTTGACTAGTTAAGATTCATTATTTTGAGATTGAGATTGATATTTCTGTTTATGGTCAAATGGGTGAGTGAGTGTAAGTGTGAACCACCAGGTGGTATTCGTATTATTAGTTGACAGGGTGTATCAGGGAGATAAGATGTTTTCTGATGGTAGTTTTGAAGGTGATGAATGTGTCTGCAGTTTTGGAATTTTCAGGTAGGGTGTTCCAGATTTTAGGGCCATTGACATACATTGAATTTTTGTAAAGGTTTAGTCGGACACGGGGAATGTCATAGAGATGTTTGTGTCTGGTGTTGTGCCTGTGGGTTCTGTCACAACTATCAAGAAAGCGTTTTAGGTCAAGGTTAATATTGGAATTTAAGGTCCTGTGGATGTAGATTGCACAGTAGTAAGTGTGGATGTACTGAACAGGGAGTAAGTTTAGATCTATGAAGAGTGGGGGGGTGTGTTGCCAGGGATGGGATTTAGTGATTATTCTTACTGCGGCTTTTTGTTGGGTTATTATTGGCTTTAGGTGTGTTGCTGCAGTTGAACCCCAAGCACAGATAGCATAGGTGAGGTATGGATATATAAGTGAATGGTATAGTGTGAGAAGGGCAGTTTGCGGCACGTAGTATCGTATCTTGGAGAGGATCCCAACCGTTTTGGATACTTTTTTGGTTATGTGTTGGATATGGGTGCTGAAGTTCAGGTTGTTGTCGAGGTATAGGCCTAGGAATTTGCCCTCATTATGCCTGGTAATTAGAGTGTTGTCGATCTTAATGTTAATTTGCGCATCTCCTGCTCTGCTACCAAACATAATGTAGTAGGTTTTGTCAACGTTAAGCGTAAGTTTATTGGCTGTCATCCAAGTCGATATTTTGATTAGCTCCTCATTAACAATGGGACCTGACGATCTGTTGGAGTGTGAGCAGGGTAATATTTAGTGAAGGGATTCAGGGAAACCGGTTATTTTTATATAGCCAGACTTGAGTCCTGGAAATGGGAAGTACAATGCCTGCACTCTAAAGGAGGGGTTTGGGATATTAGCAGTTTGGAGGGATATGTTGTGTATCTTAATACGTATATGCTTCTAAACTGTTGTGTTCTGAGCACCTCTGCAAAAACAGTGATTATGTGTGAGTGAGGTGAAAGTGTTGAATGACGATGAAAGTATTTTCTTTTTGGGGATTTTTTCTTTTTGGGTCCCCCTGCCTCGGTGGGAGATGGCCGACTTGTTGAAGAAAAAAAAAATGATTTTACCCTACATTTTAGTTGCTGCTGCTGTTCCTTGACATGGAAGTGTGGAGAAAGTTGATGTGGTCTTACAGGGCTGAGGTGGTTGGTTGTGATTCTTGTGTTGATGCTGAGTTGTCAGTAGTTGATGGTTGTACTGAAGGGCTCAAGTATTCTGTAATGCATCTCTGGTCTGTTTTGCTCTGTACTTTGACATTTTCTCAATGTCATAATCTGGAATACTCATTACTCTCAGACCACAAGTGCAGGCTGTCCGTGTCACATATGCACTACCTCGAAGTATAAACAAAATTAACATTTTTTCAATACTATCAGAAATTGATGCTTATTCTTCTTAGCACCTTCTGGAGCATCATCGGTATTCCTCTTGGTTGCCATGGTTAGTATCCAGAGCTGAGATGGGGTTTTATTACCCCATCCAAAATCATTTGATAAACAAAGAGCTAGTGAGGAATGCAACTTTCTATCAAAAAGCAACTGTAGAGAGCTTGGGAGGTCGCCAAACTGTACCTCTCCAAACACAACCATTTGGTTCAATCTAGGTTGAAGAAAAATTTCATTGTATAGCATACATATTTTATGCATAACTTAAGGCTTCCATACTTAACCCTTAAACAGACCAAACAGATCGACGTTCAAATTCGTATTGCTACAAAAGTAGATCTACTTTTTTTTACATATTTTCAAATATAACAAAAAAAAAGTAGATAAAAGTTTTTTTTACACGTTTTCAAATGTAAAACGAAAAAGATCTACATTTTTTTTACATACTTTCAGATGTTGAAAAAACGTATATATACGTTTGGACCGTTTAAGGGTTCAGGGACATACTTTTAAGGCTTTTTCGTGTTCTGTGGAAAAAAAAAAGAATTTACCTTTTTAGTCCAGTCAAAATTACTCTGTAGTGTTGCTTTATTGGAGTATTTACTGTATTTGTGAAAGTTAATTATTTAAATTCATTAGATATGCAAATATTAAAAATATTATGTTAAAGATACTTAAATATTTTGTTAAGGTAAAAAAAAAAGTTTAAAATAAAAGTTTAAATATGGCCTGAAAACAAGCTTTTCTCCCAGGAACTTAAAGAACCGTGATACCATGAGCAAGAGTGATCCATTATGTATTCTCTATATGAAGGAAACTGGATTTGATACTTTTCATGAGGTTGGTCGCACGGAGATGATTAAGGACTCTCTCAACCCTCAGTGGGTTCGTGAGATTGAGGTGGATTATCGATTTGAGGAACGACAGGTAAGTTTTTTTTAGTTCTAATACAGACTGTATGATAATGAATTAAGTGTATTTATTCATTGTTAGGGTTACATAAGTGTGCAATGCAAGAGTGCAGGTTTTCTGTTTCCTAACAAGGCAGGATGTACCCAGAGGAAATGACATAAATTAAATTTTTTTTCTTAATTTGGTTGCAAATTGCAATCACAGGGGGAGTCATGCCTTCATTCAGATAATAGTTATTGCACAACCCCAGGTATAAAAATGCAGCATATTTTTCGGCCTCATTGATGGGAATAAGTAAAAAAAAATTTGCATCAGAAGTCAAAATATTTTAAGTTTTCATATCCTAAAAAGAAATTGGTGATGATGTTTCTATATATATATATATTGTTTATCATCATGAGTTGTAGGCGTAATTACCAGATGAAACTACCTACCTATTACCTATTTTGTGCATAGCAACCTCGCCCAGTTCTGTGTGACCCTTGCAGGTTTAGTGCTTAATTTGACGATATCGTGTATAGCAATCAACACACGAGTGTTTTCATGTCCTGTGTGTTATCAGGGCTAGAATGTGACTGTACCGGAAATTTTTTAAATTCAAACTGAGAGAGACTCCCAGAAGAATTTTATATTATCTGCTTCCCTTAGTTTGTATAATAAGAGTTAAAATGAGAAGCTATAATGTTAGTTCAGTACCTACTGTATATACAGTGTTGTTAGTTCAGTACCTACTGTATATACAGTGTTGTCAGTACAGTGCCTACTGTATATACAGTGTTATCAGTACAGTGCCTACTGTATATACAGTGTTGTCAGTACAGTGCCTACTGTATATACAGTGTTGTCAGTACAGTGCCTACTGTATATACAGTGTGTAGTTAAACACATGTTCTGTAACAAATAAACAAAGACAAGAGAGGCTCAGCTGCATCTGTTGCAATATTCATATATGGATACTATCCTCCACTCCCTCATCAGTTCCACTCTCTCTCCTCTCCCCCCCCCTTCCTCCCTTTCCCCTTTCCTTCCCCCTGTCTCCCTCCCTCTCTCCCTTCCTTGTCCTTCCCTCCATCTCTCCCTCCCTTCACAAATCCCTCCCTCCCCATCAGTCCCTTCCTTCCTCCCCAGCAGTCCATCTCTTCCCCCACACCTCCCTCCACACCTCCCTCCACACCTCCCTCCACACCTCCCTCCCCATCAGTCCCTCCCTCCCAAGAATTAAAATATATAGCATAAGAATTCACATAAAGGAAAATAGACAATGTTAAACTCTTCATATATAAAATTATAAGACACTGCATAAGAAAATAAAACTCATTGAAATTGCCTGATTAAATGAAGTAAATACCTAGAAAAATTAAAAGAAAAAAGATATATTACTGTAACTTGAATTAATATCAAAAGTGAGCTGTCTTTACTCTCAATTCAGAAGAAAGTTTGTGTTGCAGCATGTTGGTCAATGATTTTTCAAAGCCTTTCTATCTGACACCTGACGCTAGTTCTATTGGCATAGGTGATGTCCTGGCTCAAAAGATCGATAGTAAGTATATAGGCTAATGAACTGTTTAGAAACTATTATTCCTCGTTTCACTCTTGTGTTCAGTGTGACTTTTCTGACAATACGTTCAATGTTGTATTATTGTTTTCTGTGTTCATTCCCAGTAACCTTGCATTTCTTTTCTTTATTTAACCCTTTGAGGGTCGACAGGTCCTCTCAGAGACTTGTTCTCAGGGTCAGCCAAATTTCAAAAAAAAAAAAAAAAATTTCTTATGAAAAAAGTTTTTTTTTTTTAAATATTATAGGCTAAACAAAAATTTTTTACCATCAATACTTACCGAGATACGGAGGCGTGAAGTTGATGAAAAAGGGGGACAATGTGGCAACATCGCCGACTGCCATCTCCCGGTATTCTTTTATTTACTTTCTTATGTACTAATGTCTATTATTTTTTAATTTTTCTTTTTCCAAGTAACTTTTATGGTCTGTGAGACCAATATGATCAGTATTTTGTAAGTTTTTTCTTTTTCAATACTACACAATAAGGGCGTAAACACTGTTGTCATTGTTCTGTTTATAGAAAATATTTACACAAACAAACGATATGAAATGTTGCTTATTACTATTTTTCTATATTTTATATACACACATACAGTCACAGGGAATGTTTCTAGAAGTTCTGCAGCCTGTGGAACTCTTTGAAACATGGTGTCATGCACAGTGGTGTTTTACATTCCTCACACATAAAACGAGTGTCTGTGTTGTTGTGGGCGTTTTTTTGTATGTGAACAGACGTAACACCTCTTCTGAGCCTTTTTCTTGAAAGCAGTAGCAGGCAGTTTTACCAGGAAGTGATCACCATGCTTCAGACGAGAAGGTAGTTGTTGATAATTTGGTGGGCGGTCTATTGCAGGTGTTCTTCCTTGGTACTTGAATAGTATTTGTCTGATGACAGACAAACATAATTCGCCATACTGTGGTTTGTTTCTGGTCCTCATCTTATACATATTATAAGCATTGAGCATGGAAATGTCCAGAAGATGGAAAGAGAGTTTTATGTACCACTTATAACTCTTGTGAACACAATCAGCAAACCCATTCTGGATGTCACATTTGTCCACTGAACACATATTGAAGGTGTAATCAATCACAGCTGCAGGTTTTAGAATGGGTTCATTGCTCTCTCTATGTTGCCTGCCAGTGTCTGCCATTTCATTAGGGTGAACTGATGACAACAATGTGACATCTCGTTTGTCATGCCACCGAAATGCCATGATGTCATTGGCAGCAAACGCCTGCACCTCACCACTAAGAGTGCCAGCGTCAAACCTGGGCATATGTTTCCGATTTACACGCACTGTGCCACACACATCTGTCATGTTACATAAGAACATAAGAAAGGAGGAACACTGCAGTAGGCCTGCTGGCCCATACTAGGCAGGTCCTTTACAATCCTTCCCACTAAGAACATAACAATGGAAGAACACTGCAGGTCTACTGGCCCATACAAGGCAGGTCCTTATCAAAATGACCTCTACCCAAGAAATTACTCCCATACCCAATGACACAAATCAAACTCGGCTCCTCCAACTCATATATTTGTCCAATCTCTTCTTAAAGCTACCCAAGGTCCTAGCCTCGATCACCCTACTGGTAAGTGTGATGTTAAATAAGAACTTAAGAAAGTAGGAACACTGGAACAGGCCTGCTGGCCCATACTAGGCCAGTCCTTCACAAATCCAACCCACTAACAGAACAAATGCTACCCAAGCAATAAACTCAGGTGCAAGTCCGACTCAAATCCAACCCCCCTCACTAGTGTATTTATCCAACATAAGAACAATAAGAATAGCAAAAAGTCACCGAATGAGGGGCTTGTGTACCAGTTATCAGTATATAATATATGCCCCTTACCAAGATTTAATATAAGTCTGCCCAAAATGCCTAGCCATGCTAGGTGTTCTAGTGGTACACTATAATTATTATTTTACTACATGTAAACCACACAATAACCAAATTCTGTAAACTCAGCATTGTAATCCTTATAGAGAATAAACTTTGAATTTGAATTGTTCTAACCACATCACCAGAGATGCCCAATAACTTCCTGGTGTTTTGCAATGTATAACTTCCAGTGTACACATTAATATCCTATACCAGACCACTGTAACAATCACAAAGCACAAACAACTTTATACCAAAGCGTTTCCTCTTGCTTGGTATGTACTGCTTGAAAGAGTCTTCCTTTGAGCAGAATCAAAGACTCGTCATTTACAAGCTTCCTGAAGGGATAAAAATACATATTGAATTTCTCTTTCAGATACACAAACACATGCCTAATCTTATATAACCTGTCGTTTCTGTCAGGCCTGGTTTTGTCAGAAGTGAAGCATACGTAACATTAGCACAAATCGATTCACTGGCATTATATCACTGAAACCTGGGGTTGCAATCAGGCGGTCTGTTGAGCAGTGTGATTTCACTTTGTGCTTATACACATGTGGCATAAGCATTATTGTGGCAAAGAAAATATACATCTCAGCCACAGTTGCCTCCTTCCACTGGTGTAGACGTGATTTTGGTGAAAGTATTGTTTGCCTTGGTGTACTCATAGTACGTGTTGCTTTCCATGACAATACTTTCGATCAGGGATTCGTCAAAGAATAACTCGAAACATTCCAGTTTAGTGGCATTGTTTCCAAGAGTACAAGATGGCCGTATTCCACTTTGGCTGTCATCAAACTGGTGGGCATTTGGAACAAAATTGACAGCTTCCTGCCAATCCCAGGTGCGGTCTGCTGGTGGGTACTGGACAATGACAGGTGGTTGTGGAGGTTGTGGTTGTGGAGGCTGGTGTGGTGGGTGGGTGGGGGATGGTGGCCTTTGTTGTAGATCAGCTGAGGCAGCGGCGTGGGTGGCAACATGGCCCACTGCTGGTGCCTCACGGCCGTCACCACCACTACCACCACCATGTACATTTTCCATCCCAATTGCAACACTATCATCGTCATTTTCACTGTCTGTTCCTGTTGTACAGCCACAGGATGTGCTCCGAGATGTACTCCTTCCCCTTGGTATTGCATATGGCACACTACCAGAGCGCATATACCGTCGTATATACTGATGCTTCACTGGGGAATATTGCACTTCACTATCACTACTGGAACTGTTTTCAAGAGCTTGTAGTTCATAATCACTATCACTATCATCACAAATGCTCACATCTGAGTCTGGGATTTGGGAAAATAGGAGTTTCCTCTTTGATTCTGGTACAACTGAACGTGAACAAGACTGCCCAGCACCAGAGGTGGAAGGCCAAGGGTCGTCTGGGTTTTCCTCACTATTACCGATATTATGGTCATTAGTTTCGGTCAAAACCTCACCAAAACCTTGAAACTCATCTTCACTGGCACTTCCATCTGTGTTAGAACTGTCACTGGGGAACAAAAGTGTCACAATTCGCCGAGGAGTGAGGAACTTCTTACCGCGAGGCATGGTGGACATTGTGTACTAAGAT